CGCTCGCACTGCGTTCAATTGCAAAAAAAATTGTTGTTGTTGTTGTTGGTGGTGGTGGTGCTGCTGCTGCTGCTGCTGCTGCCGCTGCCGCTGCTGCTGCTGCTGCTGCTGCTGCTACTGCTGCTGCTGTCGTTGTCGTTGTCGTTGTGGTTGGTGGTGGTGCTGGTGCTGGTGGTGGTGTTCGTTCGTGTTGGTGTTGGTGTTGGTGGTGTTGTACCGGTGATAGCGCAGATTCTGGGACTTGGCAGGTCTTCCAGGATGGCGTGGAGGCTGGGGGGGCATCACATCCAAGCCTCGTCGGTGTTTTGAGGGTTTAGGATTCAGTTTTGAGGGATGCAGGCCGTCGCGCCTCGCTGTTTTCGGATCTTCACTGCCTAGTGGCAGGTTCTGGGACGCAGCGAGGAGATGGAGTCCTCCAGGCAGGCCTCTTGTGCAGTCGTCGTCGTCGTCGTCGTTGTACTATCAGTCGGAGTAATAGCAGCCGCAGCAAAACGGTGACTTACTTCGCTTGCTCCTCCTACAACTGCTGCTGTTACTCCCTATCCCCACTCCCACTCCTACTACTATCCCTGCTCTCACTGCCACTCCTGCGCCCTCTCCTTCGGCTCCTACTCCTGTCTGCTGCTGCTATCGCCACCAGCACCACCAACACCAGACCGCCTCTGCTGCCTCTGCTCCTCCCCGGCGAACTTTCTTGCGAACTCGTTGACCAAAGAAGAGCTACCGCGTGCACTTGCCGCATGCAGGCCTCACAAATGGAGGATCGAGGAGGAAGAAGAGATAGCCGACGGGGACTTGTTGTATGGGAGGCACGCGGAAGACCACTGGCCCTGTCGTCCTGAAATTTGTACTAGCATTGCTGACGTGTTCCAGATTCTGCATCGATGGCGTTCCGCCGCGTCAGGTGCACATGTTGTCGCGTGGAAACGTAGCAGACGCAGCACGTAAAAGGCATCATACGTCGCATGTTTATCTTCAAGTGTCGCAGGGAGGGACGGTGGGAAATACCTTGCGAAGAACACTCTTGCGGCAGGACCCGGCACCTCGCTCGACGCATGTAATCGTTGGCACATGGATGTGCCAGGACTTGTTTAGAACCTACGCAGCGGTGGCCTTCCGCTTGCGTTACCGATCCTACAATGACGCAGCCTCGGACACCTAAACTGCTGCTTTACGGTTGAAGCTGCTTTAAGAAGTGCGCGGGGCCTGGGGCCCAAATGGGCCGAAGGTGGATCAAGGGAAGGTCCACGTGTCCAGAGCGCAGCCTGCGCTCCACGAGCCCAGAGCCCAGCTTGGGCTCCAGGGCTTCCGAGGATCTTGAAGACTGCCAAAGGCAGAGGAGCCCCAATTGCCAGTGCGAGATGCGAGCTCTCCGAGACTCGGACTCTAACTGTGTCCCCCAAGCTCAGGTTCTCGTCTGTCCCGGGCGTTCAGGCGCGGCGCAGTGCAGGGCTGAAGAGATCAGGAGGGTCAGCATGATCTTGCTCAGGATCAGGGTTTGGACTTACCCACATCTCAGCATTCCCAAGTTGCAGCAAACCAACTCCCTTTGATTCACGCAACTCGTCTGACCGTGAAGTCCAATTTCACCCGAACCTCGAGCCTTCGATGCTTCTGTGAGGAGTCCATGATCGATGTTGTGCGCAGTGTGCAACAGTTGACTGTTGCCACAGCACCGTGGCAGGCAGTTCCGCTTTGTTGGACAGGTTTTCCCTGACAGTCCCATTCTGACGGATCATGCAAAGATGGTTCAGGAGAAGTCGTGTGCAAGTGTTTTGTTTTTCCTCACTTTTGTTGGGATCCAGCCCTTTGCAAAGACACGAGCTGCCAGGCGCCCTCGGACCTTCCACTGTCTGCCATGGCATCTGAGCATCCAGGCGACGTCGGAACGGGGCTTCCGCCTGCCATTTCTACTCGTTTTTTTTTTCCGCCGGCGTTGTTTTCTTCCTATTGCGACTACGTTTAGTGGTCTCAGGCTCCTTTGCACTTACATCCATCCCTCATGTCAGACAAGCGAGGCGAACCCGACGTCTGGCGCTGGGCCACGCGTCGTTGCGGGCCCTGCCCTGTCAAGGTGGGATTTGGCCTGGGTGTTAAGAGTATCAGCATGGGTCTTGTGTTTTGCAGCCGCCAGAGTGTCTTTACCTGGTTCGTTTTGTTTTGAGGCTGGTTTTCGGATGATGTCTCAAGGTCAACTGAGGGGATACCATAGACTCCGAATAACTAGAGTGTTTGAGAAACAGAGAGCAACCCTGCTCAACAGAGACTAGAGTATTTGAGCAGCAGGAAGCAAACCGCTCGGAAGAGATTGGAGTGGGACAGACACGGAGCCAATCTCTCGAAAGGGGCTGCAATATTTCAGAAACAGGGCCAGACGCTTTGCATTGGCTCTGTCCATCCGAACTGCTCGTCTTTCTATCACCGACACTCTCGGGAGAACTGGATGACCTCGACAGGCACAAGATCTGGACATGGTTGACAGCTCTTCCTTCTACGAACGGCCCTCCGGCAAGTTAGAGAGAGAGAGAGAGAGGAGCGCCCTGCTTTCCCTTTGACTGTGTTGAAGAAGAGAGAGAGCGGGGTCATGGAAGAATCCGGACTTCAGTCTTGAAGGTCAGGCATCTGTTTCTCTGCACGAAGATGAACGTATCAATCTGAATTCCCGTTGAGCATGCGGCCAGGCCCACCTACTTGCCGATTGGGCAGCAGCACTTGCTGCAGATTTCTGTCGGAAGCTTGTACCATTGCCCGGTGAGCAGCTCTCCACAAGGGGCCGCCGCCCAGGCCCCTGCAATGATCGAATTCGAGGTTGAAGCGACGTGCTCCCCTCGGACATTTGACGATTGGAGTCAATTGGAGGCTGTGAGCCCTCCAGGTGCGCCTCGCAGACGGAATGGGAAATCTCTGGGGCCTTCGAAGAGTGCCCGGAAAAGCGCTCACTTCACACAGTCTGTAGGGAGCAAGACCTTGGCTTCAAGGTACCGAAAGCGGCTGCGCTCTGATCGGTGGCTTCTGGTGCCTCCCCTCTTCTCGCCTGTCAAGAAGGCCTGCATGTCGACAGCTCACATGCGCCTGAGCAAGCCGTGGCGGAGTCTCGCAGGTGAACTACATGGTCACCGGGAGCGACGACGACACGGAGCGATTAGTTCGTGTCTCCCGTGCTTGCACGCAAATTCAGAAGCCGGTGTCCTCGGCTCCGCAGGAGTCGGTGCAGCTGGAGGTGTGGACCACAAAGGCAGCCAGGCCGGAGCAGCAGCGGCCCGCCTCGTCTCCAGCATCCTCTCACATGGAGCGTCCAACTCATCCCAGCTGTTTGGGCTTTTTTGGAGCCATGGGCTTGCCAGAGCCTTTGATGCAAGTTGGAGCCAGCCTTTGAGGTGCCAGGGACCAATATGGGAGGCCCAAAGAGGCCTCCGCTGAAGTGCTCGTCGCCATGGCGACGGTGCCTCGCCGCAGCAGCTTGTGCCCTGGACGGCTCTAAGAAGGGCTTGGTGCCTGTTTGCTTTTGCTCTCTCCAGGCTCCTGTTGATCCTCCGATGTGAGGTGTGACATGCTCGATGAGCATTGCGACCACTCTGACAGCTGATTCGGCAAGTGTCAAGGCCGTTGCAGGGGTTCACTTGCGCACCTCCCATACCACTCCTGCGACTCTTCGTAGCCCTGCAAGGTGCTGTCGTTCTCTGGCCACTTTCGGCGGCGAGGAGTGGTTTGGGTTCCCTTGGCATGGCCGTGGCCAGCGCTGGCCACGGAGCTCGAGGCTGCACGGGAGCGTGTGGCCGCAGTGGCTCAGAAGGCCGGGACACACAGCCTACAGTTGGCGCTTTCTGTGAACGAACTCGCTTGATGGCGTGATGATTTACCATCTTCCCGATGCAGCTGGAAGAGCTGGCCAACACGGAGACCTTTGCCAAGGTGGCTGCCGGTGGAGGTGATAGCATCAGGCGGCCTGCATCTCTTCATGGTGCCCTGGGACGCACTTTCAAACCAGGCGGGAGCTGGGGACCGTCGGGACGACCTCCCCCCTCTTCGACGCAGAGAAGGCCTGAGCCCCTCTGAACTAAGGGCCTCCTGCGAACCGAACCGAAGCCGAGGCCTTCAAGGCCCTGGCCGAGGAGGTGGAGGATCCGGAGCTCTACTTTGAAACCTTGGAGAAGCTCAAAGAGGCGGGAGGAGAGGGGCGGGGGTTGGAGGGGTCGAGTTTTTCCAGAGTCCTGGGCACTGTGGGGTCATCCTGTGGGTTCGAGGCCGTGAGCAACGCGGATGCGGACGCCTACTCGAGCATTTTTTCCATGAACTCTGCGGCTGCAACGCCGCCACAGGCTGGGGCATGAACGTTCCCCCTCATCTCCTTCTGCCGAGAGTCTGTGCGGAGAGGTTTACACGGATCGATCCTTCAAGGACTCCAACTTGTGCTTGAGCATGTTTGTCCAGGCTCGGGGCCCAGGCGTCTGAGATTCCGAGAGTCTTCCAGGAGGTGCAAGATGCGCGCTCCGCCGTCCGGCAGCTGCTGGCAATGCTGAAGAAGTAGCGGTTGCAGCGGTTCTGCGAAGAAGGGCTTGTTTGGCTTGCAGTGCTGACTACGAAGGGTCACGAGACGTCAAGGATCCCCTTGGCTTGGCTTTTGCCTCCACGGCCTCGCCGCGTCACAGAAAAACGCAATCCCCAGCTGAACCCTACGGAGGCCGCGAGGCCCTTTAAGCGCTGCGAACCGGAAAAGGGGCGCTGGACCTAGGAAACCCGCTGCTCTCTTAGTCCCAGTCCCAAGAGAACTCGAAAAGGCCCGCGAGCCTGGTCCGAACGTCGGCTGCATCGCTTTTGGCATCTTTGGTCGGGCGACGGCTGGAGGCTTCGCGCGGTGATGTTGGGAGTTTAGGCTTACTCTGACCAAAAACGCTTCCGAAGTGTCATCTATGGCTCGTCGAAGCCGGCTGCACAGTCTGAATCTCCGGTCTAGGGTCAGCCACTGCCACAGAGTCTCTCTCGCGCTCTCTCTCTCTCTCTCTCTCTCTTTTTCTTGCTGGCTCTGTTTACGCATGGTTTGCGGGCGTGAGTGGGTGGGCGATGGCGGGTGGGTAGGTGTTCTTGAATTTATGCTGGTGCACTTTTGGTTTTTGGGTGCGAGAGGACGTGGGTTCTTATGTTCCGGAGAGAGAGACCGCTTGCCTTTCCCATCAACCCCCGTGCAGGGAGATGCTGATGCTGAAGCCGATGCCCCAGGACGAAAAGAAAGGCAGTTGCGAAAATCGGGAAGCGCGGGCTTAGAATGAAGCTGCATTGTGTACGGCGCCAAGCGCTTCACAACTCGAACAAGCTGAGAAACGATTCTCTCACCCAGGTGCCCTCAGGCAGGGGGGGCAGGGTGGGAATTGAGGGTTCAGTGAAAGAAGTCGTCCTTGGCGCGGGCACTTGGCAGAAAATTTGACTTGCAAGGAGGTTCAGGCTTCCTCTTGGTGATCTGCAGCATTCGTCGGGATTGCGGGATTGCAGGAACTTTACTTCGGGAAAGTGGAGCAGTTTCCTTCGAACGCGCCTGCAGGCATCGCGGGAACAACCAGCGATGCGGACGTTGACAAGGCACCGAAGAGTCAGTGGCGTTGTTGCTACATCCGGGCTGGAGCTTCATGCTGCCGCTCTCTGGCGAGGGGCAGCTGGCAGACCGTCTTGCTGAAGGCATCTTAGCATTGTGTGACTTTGGGAAGGGAGCCGCTTCTGAGAGCGTGGTGCTTGCTCCGGGCGCGCAGACGATGAGTATGATGATGGCCAAGATGCCCTCGATGAGCTGCTCAGCAGCTCCGAGCTCAGTGGGCTCTGGCTCTGGCGGCTCTAAGGCCGGCCAGATTGCTCCTCCAAGGTGCCAGCCAAAACGAAGCGGGCATTGGAGACAGCGACGACGAAGGCCCAGTGCAGTCTGTCTGGGCTTCAAGTGAGACCGCTTCTGATTGCTGATTTCAGGCATGCGAGCCCTGACGGAGGGCTTGTTTGATCTGTGATTTGCAACAAAAAAGCGTGCTGTGCCAGCTGCCCTTTCGCAATGCAACCTTTCCAGCACCAGAAATCCAATTCATGACGCTGCCCTGTCACCGCGAGCAGATTCACGCAGCACATGTGCCGATTCGTCTGCATGCTTGATCATGATGGCCGCTTGCTGAGTGACGCTGCTCAATCAGCTCAATTCCGAGAAAATCAGAAGTGCCAGAGTTTAAAGCGAGCAACATAACATCGAGTGGCCAACAGGTCGTACGCGCAAGCTCCCAACCGCTGAAAAGCCCAGAGTCGCATCACTGCGACTTCGGACATGAATGTAAAGCCTTCGCAAGCACCTCTCGGCGCCCGCAGACCCATCCTGCCTGGTGCCTTCTGGTGCCTCTGAGACTGGCATTGCTGTTACTGCTCTTGCTGGGTAGTGCATGGGCCCACAACTCATCAGCTCCTTGATAGTTCCACGTCGGGACATGTTGGAACTTGGTCTTGGGGTGATTAGTTTGCGCAAAGTTGCTCTCCGGCAGCCGTTTGCATCAAGCACTTTTGCCCTTCTCTGGAGCTGAAACAGCCTCGCTGGCGTGTAGAGATTTTTGCAGCTGAGACTGATGGCTTTCGGGGACATGGCACCGACTCTTGAGGAATTGGCTCTCACCACAGACATCGACGGATATAGCTGCATGCCGGGAGTGGAGACGAACCTGGGTGAGCTGTTGACCACCGCGGCCCTGGAAAAGCCTGACGGCGTGTGCTTGGAGACGGAGGATGGCTGCTATACCTTCATGCAGGCCTGGGGGCAAAGAGGGCAGCCGAATAGGGTTGCTTTGCAGACTCAAGCGTGAAGCATGTCAAGCGCGGCAGTCAGGTGGCCCAGATGGCGGATGCAGTCCGGAAAGTCCTGCGAAAAGCCTTGCTCACCTTGGATCTTCCGACGGAGTCAGACTCGGAGGCACCTGATGCACACAAGCGGCGAGCCGATGAGCACATAGCGGCTTAGCTTTAGATCCCATCCCAACCTGGCCCTCGCTTTTTGGTTTTGATTTTTGACTCTGCCTGACGTTTGGGCGTGCGCTCTGGTAAGGTCACCATTGTGCTGCCCCGGGGCGTTCAAAGCATTGCTTCGGTTCATGCCGTGATGTTGGAGAAATGCGCCTACAATGCATTCGACATTGGTGAACCAGTCGAGAAGCTCCGAACCTGGATCGAGGTCGCTCAACCTCCCGTCATGATTTCTTCCGATGCCAGTTTGCGGCACTTGGGGATTGTGGATGTGGCAGCAGCACTGGGCGAATTCCCGAGAATGGTCCTAGATGTTGATCTGGCACTCCAGAAGGCAGTTGGCAACTCCTTCCCACATCGTCCAAGCCACTCACCAGAAGATCATGACAGGCCGTGGACAGCACACCACGTGGCTTCCCTCCCATCCCTCCTATTCCCCTGCACGAGCAGGTTGGCCTATCTCATCTTCACCAGTGGCTCCACGGGCAAGCCGAAAGCAGTCATGATCCGGCACAAGTCGGCACTGAACGTCGTTCGCATCTGGGGCAGGTATGTGGGCCTGAACGACAGGGATCGGTTTGCGCAGGTGGCCTCGATGTCCTGGGATGTCCATGTCATCGAGGTTTACGGAACCATGGCCGCCAGAGCGACGAGCGTCACATGCCCGGACATGGTCAAGAAGGGTCCCGACATGCAAGCGTGGTTGAAGGAGAGACACATCACTGGCATGAGTGTGGTGCCCTCGCACTTGCGCACCATGGCGGGTGGAGGAGATGCTTCGAAGCACTCGTAGCCTCGGCACGTGCGTCTGTCTTTTTTTTTCCGCATCCTTTCCCCTCGCAGGAGCCGATGTGTCTCGGACGTCCGGCGGGCTTCCACACCTGCGAATCCTTGATGTCGGTGGCGAAGCTCTGGGTGCAGATGTCGTGGAGACCTGGGCACCAGGACGCCAGCTCTTCAACAGCTATGGACCCTCAGAGATTTCTGTGGTCTGCACCGGTGGCTATGTGAAGACTGGCGATGTGATCACGATCGGTGCACAGCTGCCAACGTATCAGTGCTACATCTTGGATCCGGAGACAATGGAAGTGAAAGCAGAGGGCGAGCGTGGTGTCCTCTTTGTGGGAGGCATTGGCTTGGCCCGAGGCTACCTGGAAGAGGAGGAGAAGACAAAGCTCAAGTTTATTGAGTTGCCCGATATCGGCCGAGTGTCTCGGCCTCCTCAGCAAAGAGAGGCGCTTGCAACTCCTCGGTTTCCGCAGCTCAGGTCTACAACACGGGAGACCTGGCGTCTCGAGCAGTGGACGGGCGCATTCACTACCATGGCCGAGTGGACTGGCAGGTGAAAGTGCGGGGCATCCGAATCGAGTTGGAAGCCCTGGAGCAGGCCAGGAGCTGGCCAGGCCAAAAGGCCAAAGAGCCGCTCTGATCTGAACTCCCCAAACTCTCTCTTATTTAAAAAAGGCCATCACGGAACTCCCCAACGTGAAGCACTGCGAAGCTCGGGTCTTGGACGGGCAGCGCCTGGCCGCGGGCTCAGAGGGTGTCAAGGTCAACTCAACCGCACGGCACTTCCGAGCTGTGCCTCGCGATTGCACGCTTTTGTCATCGCGTAGCGTCGCTGTAGCATCATCGCGTAGCGAATCGCGTTTTTTTGCTGTTTCTTAAGCTGGGAGGTGTTGCTGGCCTCGGGTGCTGCAGAGCTGTCGGAGGCAGAGCTGAAAGCCACCGCGGCTGCCCTGGGACGCGGCTACGTTCTCAGCCAGGTGCCCCGAGAAAAGTGGGTCTGCCCAAGCCGAAGTGTCGACGGGGTACGTAAGCATGTGCAAGCCAAGGTGAAGATCGTGGAGAACGATGCTTGGAAGTTCAACACTTCCGGCAAGCTCTTGCGCAATGCCGTGCCGCTGGATGATGCTACTGGTAGCGGCGGCGGAGAAGAGCAGAAGACAGATGCCTGGGATGCATTCGTGAAAGAAGGGGCCTCTGACCTTGAGCAAGAGATTGCAGCCTGCTTGGCTCCGCAGTTGGGCCAGAATCTGGACAGGTGGGATCGCAACTCCCACTTCATGGAGGACCTTGGGGTGGACTCCGGCGGCTTCGGACGCCTTATTTCCCAGATGCGAATGCGGGCTTCGCTGCGGCAGGTGGACCTTCAGATGCTCTTCGACCATCCTACAGCACGATCGCTGGCCGCTGCACTGGCCGTGTCCAGCAACGACTCCGACTCCGAGGATGAAGAGGGCAATGGCCTCCCTGATTCCGATGCCCTTTTGCAGGGTGGCGTGTCCCATCTCGAGGCAACGCCTCATGCGGTCTGCGCAGAGGCTGGCTGCCATAGCGTCACCTACCGCCAGCTTTTCAAGTTGGCTGCTGCTTACCAGCAGCTGCTGCATCAGAACTTGAAGACGCATGAGGCAGCGCGGGGGAGATGCGTGGCCATCTGCTTGGACGTGCCAGAGAGGATGTCAGCCGTACTTGCTGTGCTCAGAGAGGGCTGCACATTTTGCGTGATGGATCCACGCAGCAGCGGCAGCACCATCATGGAGCAGCTCCGCTTGACGAAGCCGGGTCTACTGCTGGCCACAAAAGCCGACCATGCAACGTGGATGCGGCTGGAGGGCCACTGCAGGCTGCTGGCCTCGGAAGCAGCCAGGCTTGCAATTTTGCATCCTTTTGACTTGAGGCATCTGTTGCAGCGTCTTGTGCTAGTAGCTTCTGGTCACGCCCAGGTCGGCGGCTGCACGGTGCTGGACGTCAGTGCCTCGGCGCCACCTGCCAAGCAACGACGGGCCCGACAGGCTTCCGGCCCTTGCTGCATCGCTTTTGCTGGGAGCGCCTTGGCAGCTTGATGGAGCTTGACGCTTCTTCAGATGCCTAGGGATGCATGCGCAGCGCCCCTGCGAACACTGTAAAAGCCGCTAGAAAGCGACGGGCTGCGAGCAGAACCGACGTCAGGGGCAGTGCTGCTGCAGGCGGTCTTGGCATGGCAGCAGGAGCGTTTTTTCTTTGTGCAATGTCTCCTTCTGACGGGTGGAAAAACCAAGCTCTTCGGCACGCTTGGCAGGAGCTCCACTTGGACCACACTGGCAGGGTGCTCTCATGCCTTCAAGCTGGCAGTGTCGGTGGCCTTGTGGCCCTCCTCAGCTCGCTACATGCTGGGGCCACGCTCCTGAGCCCAAGCCCTGCAAGCCCTGAGCTCTTGCAGAAGCTTTGTGTGACTCGCGCAAGTGTCTTGGCCTGCGAGCCTAGCGACCTCGAGATCCTCGCGGCCAGCTGGTCTCAGGAGAACGGGCACGCGCGGCCGCAGCAGCTATCAGCCGTTTGCGTGCAGGACTCCCCCCGCTCCAAACCTGACGACTCGTAGACGCCACACAGACCTCTCTGGCAGGAGCTGACTGGGCAGTTGCCGCCCTGTCGCTGGGCTCCTAGTCATCTCCGGCTCTTGCACATCGGCGTGGCCTGGGCCACGGCACTGCCCAGAATGGATGCCGTCGACCTCCGGAGGGGCAGCTCGGTCATCAGCGCGTCATCGGCGAGAGCTTGGAAGCCCCTCGGGTCCTCGTTGTCTCTCGTGTCCTCTTTGACGCAGCCTCAGTTGCACCGTTTTGTTTGCCCCCTGTAGCGAGCCTTGGAGGATTTATTCTTGCAGCCTGCGTTTCAACCCCGGCCCCCCTTCCCAACCGAAATCCCCCGCCCCCCCCACCCCACGTTCCGGAGCACCTCGAAGTTGATCTTTCGGCCTGTGGCCGCTTCCTTCTGCTCTCTGGTCCGATTGCAACATGGTGGTGCAGTCGCATGGCACTCTAGCTTCGCCATGCTTCGCCTCAAGTGGCGTACCGACCCGGCATGCCCAAGAGCTGTAGAAATCTCTGTAAGCTCCACCAGCTTAGGGCTGGCTACGTCCTGGGTCACAGCGAGGAGCAAGAGAAGTCCTTCGGGCCGAACTCATGGCCTGTGCTTTGCGCCGTGGTTCAGGGTGCTGCGATTCTTGCTGCTTGCAAGCATAGATTAGAAGTTTGTGCCATATGGACCTTGTGTTGCAAAGAGCCTGAGCTGTCTTTGTTTTTAATACTTTCTTGACCTGACAGGCCCAGCCTGTGGTGGTGGCAGCACGTTTGGTCGTGGCTGAGCGGCTGCTGCTGCCACTGTCCTTCGTCATGCCATTGTGGATCTCCTTCCTTCCTTCTGTTGGCCCTGCTATTTCTGGAGCAATTCGTGCGTGTCGGAGTCCTAGCCATCTTGAAGTGGCTGCTCATCGGCCGCTACAAAGAGGGTGATCACGATATTTACAGCTTGATGTACCTGCGACACTGGCTCGTGGAACACGTCGCCAAGGGGACGATAGTAGGACAAAGCGCCCATCAGGGCAGCAGCATCGCCTTCTTGTTCATGCGCAACCTGGCCCTCAAAGCCCTTGGCGCGGATGTGTCCTTGTCCTCTGTGATCACGGCCCGGGTGGTGGCATATGACTTGGTGAGTGTTGGCGACCTGGCAACCGTCCACGGGCCCAGGCACTTGACGGCGGTGAACTACGGCACCCGGCGCATGGTCTTGAGACGCGTGAAGGTCGGCGCGGGTGCATACGTGGGCCCCAATTGTACACTGGAGCCCGGCTGCGAGGCCGCCAAGGGAAAAGAGGGATTCCCAAAGAACGACTCAGAGAACAGATGAGATAGAAAGACTAGTATGACTTGATGATGAGAGTGTGTGTGGTGACTGAGCTCCAGCGCCAGGTCGCGGCGGCCGGCTATGTGGAGCCGCTGTCCACCGTACAGACCAAGGTTGTGGTCGAAGGCCGCGTCTGCGGCGTCCCAGCACAGGCGGTGGCTGGCCCCGATGCATCCCGGTTGCCGACGAAGGAAGAGGCCCGCAGCTTCCGCTGCAAGGCATCGGCCTTGGCACTGGGCTACTACTGGTGTCTCTTGCTTCCAAAAGCAATGATGCCCTTCCTGGGCCTCATCTTTTTGCAGCTGCACCCTGGCTGCCCCAGCTTGAGTCATGAGTGAGCATCTTCCCGTGCTCAGGGACCACACAGAAAGACCGAGGCTTTGCGACTATCCCTTCAACCCGCCTGAGCGCATTGAAGAACGCACGATGCACATCGAGCGCGCAGACTCTTGGACAGCAGCAAAAGGCCAGCATAGGCCAGCAATGTCTCTTGCCTTGGCCCACAAGCCAGGACGTCCTACCACCAGAGCTCTTCAGCGCGTTCCAGTGGGTTCCGCTTATCGCATTTGGAGCACCTTGTTTGCAGGTGGCCGCACCGTTCTGTGCAGAGCACATCACTGCAAGCCGAGGTCTCGATGCTGAACACAGTCGGACAGCTTGCCGGCACAGCGCTGCTGTGCCGATTGCTGCCAAAGGTGAAGCCTCCATGCACGTACTCCTTGTTAAGCCTTCGGGCCCAGATTGCGGCTCTCAAGATGTCGATGGTCCTTCAGGCCTCGGATT